AAAAAATTTTATTTTATTATATTTTCTGTGTGTACCGTGAAGTCGGGTCTGATTGGTACAGGAGGAGATTGTCCCTCCTTCTCCAGCAGCACATCTGGCAGATTTGAACTGTGTGCCTTTGAGATTGCAGTGCACCTTCTTGCCACTAGCCCGCAGAGCTCCCTGAAACTGAAATTCTTATTCACTGTTGGTGACTAAAGCAAGAAATCAGAAGAAATTAACATTCCTACTGGAGGTTCTAAGGGAGAATCCCCCCATGTTTCTCTCTCATCGTATGGTAGCTCCAGGCAACCCTTGGCATTCTCTGGCTCCTCTTTGCATTGCCCCAGTTCTTGCCTCTGTCTTTCCTTCACTTTCTCTTCTTCTCAGTGTGTCTTCTCCTTTTCTGTCTAAGGGCACACAGAGCCCACACAGATCATCCATCATGGTCTCACATCAAGATCCTTTCCTTAATGACATCTACAAAGACCTATTATCCAAACAAAGTCCTATTCATAAGTATGAGGGGCTAGGGCTTGGACATTTGGGGAACACACTTCCCCCAACCACATAGATCTAATATTGAAAGCAATTGGCACACTTCTCTACAAAGTGAAGTCCTTTGCCTCCTCAGAGCATGAAGGGCATGCAAAAGAGTTGCTGCTTAGGGAACTGTTAGTGTTTTGAGGAGAAATCTTCCTCATACAAACACAAAGTTGTGTGTGATATTAAAAAGAACCCTCTTAGTGCATTAATTAAGTGGTTAGCTACTAATTCAAAGTTAGCAAAATGGAGGCCTAAAAAAGGCCTTCTGACCTCTCTCTACACAGATTGTGGTTCTTGTTGCTGTATGTTGTGTACCAACAAATAGACTACGACTCACAACAACCCCATGCACAAAAGCGCTGAACTGTGTTCTATCCTGAACCAATCACAGTGTCTCTCACACATCTACCCTTATTACCCCAGTTACTGTGTCCATCCATCTTATCCGGGATCTTTCACTCTCATGCTGTCCCTCCACCCTTCCAAGCATGATGTCCTTCTCCAAGGACTAGCCCCTCCTGGCAATATGTTCAAAGTATGCAAGACAAAGCCTCAAAATACTTGCCTCCAAGTAGCAGCTTGTTTTCATCCTCTTCAAAACATATCTGTTCAATTGGCAGTACAGTACCCTTTTCCAGCACCACAAATAAAAGGTATTGATTCTTCTTCTGTCATACTTAGTCACTGTCCAGCTCTCTGATTCATAGTACGTAATTGAGAAGACCATGGCCTGGATCAGGTGCACCTTAGTTTCTAGACTGACATCATTTCTCTTAAGCACTCTGGAGAAGTCCCTGACAGCAGATTTTCCTAAAGCAATTCATCTTTTGATTTCTTGACTGCTGGTACCAAGAGTATTGATTGTATACCCAAACAAACTGAAGATGTCAACAATCTCAATCTCTTCACCATCTGTGTTGAGGCTGCCAATCAGCCCAGCAGTAAGAATCTTTGTTTTCTTGATATTGAGCTTCAATCCACACTGAAGGCTACAGTCCTTGATCTTCTGCAGCAAGTACTTCTGGTCCTCCTCAGTTTCAGCAAGCAGGGCTGTGTCATCTGCATAATGCAGATTGCTGAGTCTTTCTCCAATCCTGATACCATATTTCTCTTCATAGAGCCCAGCCTCCCAGATAATTTGTTCCTTAGAAAGATTGAAAAGATAGAGAGATAAGACACATCCTTGATGCACACTCTGTTTCCTTGCTCTGTTCTGACAACAGCCTCCTGGTACAAGTATGGTTTTTGTATAAGCATCACCAAATGTTCTGGGTTTCTGATTATTCTCGGAATCAGCCCCAGTTTCTTGGGATCCACACAGCCGTTGCATAGCCAATGAAACCCAAATACACATTCCCCTGGTATTCTCTGCTGTCAGCCAAGATCCATCTCACATTAGCTGAAATATCCATAGTAATGAGACCTATTCTAAACCCAGCCTGCACTTCAGGCATTTCTCTGCTGATGTGCTGTTTCAGTCCTTTTTAGATCATCTTCAGCAGAATCTAGCTTGAATGTGATATTAATGTTGTTTGATAATTTCACGCTCTGTCAGATCACCTTTCTTTGAAATGAAAACAAACATAGATCCCTTCCAGTCAGTTGGCCAAGTGGTTGTCCTCCATATTTCTTGTCACCACTTGGTGAGCACAGCCAGGGCAGCATCTGTTTGTTGAAATATATCAATCAGTATAACATCAGTTCCGGGAACCCTATTTTTTTACAATTCTTTTAGAGCAGCTTGAACTTCTTCCTTCACCACAGGCTCTTGCTCGAGCAAACCTTAAATGTAGGCTTTCCCAGTGCATTTTCTACTTCCTGACTGCTGATATCAAGTGTGTTAATAGTGGATCTAACTAAGCAAGGTGAAGCTGTTGACTGTGGGAAGCCGCCCTTGAGGCTTCTGATCTGAGGCCTAAGTTGCTCAGTGTTGTTCATGAAACGCCATTTCATGAAAGCCTGCCTGACACGTATGCAGGCAGGTGGGCCCAGGGCTACTCCACCCATAAACGGCCATAGCTGTGTTTCTTCCTAATAGGCTGCCAGTGGTCAGGTATCCATAGCAACCCTACTTACACAGGTGCCCTTATAGTTTCCTATATAAGCTCTGTGAAAAATATCAATAAATGAAACTTGATCCGAAAGCCTGTCTTGTCTCCATTCTTCTCGCCACTTGTCCCTTTTTCAGCCCCACTCTCTCTCCTTAGGTCCACATCGATACCTCGTGGGCCTGGGCATCTTGGCACCCAATGTTGGGCTAAGGCATGGGGGATTCCGTGAGGGACTCAGCCTGAAAGACACAGAAGGACTGGCTGGTCGCTACAGAGAATTAAGAGGGTCTCTGGGAGAATACCTGCCTCACGGAATAAAGCAACCTCGCAAGTAAGTGTGCTGCCATATAATGGGACAAGCAATTAGAGGAGAAATTTATAGAGGGTCTAAAGGCCTCATTAAGGGTGTGAGGAGTAATGGTTAAGAAAAAGGATTTAGCTCACTTTTTTTCTTTTCTTAGAGATGTATGTCCCTGGCTCCCCCAAGAAGGGACTATAGATGAAAAGAGAAGGAAAAGGGTGGGTGATGTTTTGAACAACTATTATCAAGTATTTGGTCCTTAAAAGGTTCCTATTACTGCCTTTTCTTACTGGAATCTTATTAATGAAATCTTAGCTGCCAGACATTTCCATAAAGATGTTCAAGATGTGGTGGAGAAGGGAAAAAGGTTTCTTAAGAAGGAACTCAGGAAAAGTCAGTCCTTTCTTAATTCTGATCCTGGAAATTATCATAAATCTCTCCTTAATGAAGTGAATTCTCCCCCTCCCGAAGATAAGGATTCTGTTAAAACGCCCACTGTAGAAGAGGATATTAACCAAGATATTCCTACTCAAAGCTGTGCCCCCTTAAAAGTTGATCCCGCAGACAAACTTCCACTTAAAGAACCCAGCTTCCCTAAAGCGCTGTATCCTACTTTGAAAATTTTGCATTTGGAGACAAATCATGACAATAATTATTTAACCCCTGAAGAGGAAGCTGATTTAAAGGGCGAGGCGGCTAAGTATCATAGCCTTGACTGGCCGCCTCCTGTTCTTCTTGCACAACAACTGCCTCCTTACAACTTACCGTGGCCTCTTATGTCTGGCCCTGCTTTTGACCCCCCACAGAGCTATTCGTTCATGCTACCAGGTGTTAGTGATCCAATTTTAGAAATTAAGAACCTCAGGGAGTCTATTCAGCTTAAAAAGAAGCACAATAAGTTAGCTAAATAGTTGAGAATATTAGATTTAGAACTTTTCAATGAACCGGCGCCATCTTGCTTTGCTCCTTCTCTTAGGGAACAAGGGGAAATTTTCGTGCCTTTACAGACCCTGGTGCCATCTTGTCATGCTGCTCACCTTGGAGAGCAAAGGAAAAGTTCCTCCTTAACTAAAAAAAAGCCTCTTCTCCTCAAATATTTGACCTTTTCTCAGTCACTGAAGCACTTATTAAACAGGGAGATGATGAGGAGGAAGCACCATCATGGATTACAAGCATCTGGGTTTCAAAACTTTAAAAGAGTTAAAAGCTGCAGTAACTCAATATGGCCCAGTTGCCCCCTTTACACTGTCAATATTAGAAACCTTAGGTGATTTTTGGCTTACCCCTAACGTTTGGTATCACACTGCTCGTGCCACACTTTCGGGAGGAGATTATGTGTTATGGGAATCTGAATTTTCTGAGAATTGCAAGGAAACCACTCTCTGTAATGTGGAAGCTGGCAGAGAGAGTGCAACCTGGACATTAGATATGCTCATGGGCAATAAGCCTCATGACACCAATGAGACGCAGAAGGATTATGCACCTGGTCTTTTTACCCAAATTAAAAAAGCTGGATTTAAGGCTTGGAGGAAACTTCCACCGAAGCGGTTTGTGACCACCTCCTTGGCTAATATAAGACAGGGTCCTGATGAGCCTTATAGTGATTTCATTAGCCGCCTCACTAGTACGACAAAAAGACTTTTTGGCACCACTGAAATCGAAACTGATTTTATAACTCATTTAGCTTTTGAAAATGCTAACCCTGCCTGTCAGGCAGCGATCCGCCCACATAGGAGGGGCAAAAATCTTTCAGATTATATTCGCTACTGCGCTGGGATTGGTGCTGCTGGTTCTGCTCAGACTATGGGCCTTGCAATTGTTGCCGCTTTGAGAAATTCTGTCCAGGGACCTGATGGTAAAAAAATGTTTCAATTGTGGACAAATTGGTCATTTTGCAAAAAATTGTAATACTCGAAGACATGACCGTTTTCCTGGTCTCTTCCCCAAGTGTAAGCACGGTAAACATTGGACCAGTGAGTGCCGCTCTAAAACTGACGCTCAGGGGAACACATTGCTTTGTAATCAGGGAAACTTCTTGAGGGGCCAGCCTCAGGCCCAGACGACTGGACGAGCTTCTGGGGTGGTCAGGTTCGTCCCCCAAAACACGAATCTTCACAACTCATCTCCCAGCTCGCCAGAGCAACCCCAGGCAGCGCCGGACTGGACCTCTGTTCGTCCTCCAATCAGTATTAACACCTGAAATGGGAGTCCAGGCCCTCCCTACAGGAACATTTGGCTCTCTACCCCCTGACACTTTTGCCTTGTTGTTGGGTCGAGGTAGCGCTACTCTCCAAGGCCTTCAGGTTTATCCTGGAGTTATAGATAATGATTTTACTGGGGAAATTAAAGTTATGGCTGCCTCTCAAAATGCTCCCCTCACCATCTTGAAAGGACAAAGAATAGCTTAGTTAATTCTTCTCCCTTCAGCACACACCCAAAACCCTATTGTGGGACGGCACGGAGGTAACCATAGTTTTGGCTCCTCTGATGCCTTTTGGATTCATCAAATAACTCTTAATCAGCCCATATTAAGACTAAAGTTAAATGGAAAAGAATTTGAAGGTCTTATAGATACGGGGGCCGATGTGAGAGGGGTGGCCTGTTTCTTGGCCCCTTTGCCCTCTCTTACCCATCTCCGCGGAGTCGGTCAAACTAATAATCCAGACAAAAGTGCCCAAGTCCTAACTTGGACAGATTATGAAGGTAACTCGGGAACTATACAACCCTTTGTTGTCCCAGGAATCCCCGTTAATCTTTGGGGGCGGGACTTACTTTCCCAATAAATATTAATGATGTGCAGTCCTAACGAGACTATTACCTCACAAATGCTAAAGCAGGGTTTTCTCCCTGGCCAAGGCCTGGGGAAACAATCTCAGGGTATTAGAGGACCTGTGCAAGTCCAGTTGAGACCAGATCGCTTTGGGTTGGGAAATTTAGCCTAGTGATCACTGACAAGCTTGCAACCCATGCAGATAAAATCTCTTCGAAAGGAGATGAGCCTGTATGGGTTGATCAGTGGCCGCTAAGTTCTGAAAAATTGACAGCTGCAGAACAGTTGGTGCAGGAAGAGCTTACAGCAGGCCATCTTGAGCCTAGCAACTCCCCTTGGAATACACCTATTTTTGTTATAAAAAAGAAGTCAGGGAAATGGAGACTCCTTCAAGATCTTAGGGCTGTAAATAAAACCATGGTGCTAATGGAGGCATTATAGCCCAGCCTTCCCACAGCAGTAGCTATCCCTTCTCATTATTTAAAAATTGTAATTGACCTTAAGGATTGCTTTTTCACTATTCCTCTACACCCTGAAGATACAAAAAGATTTGCTTTTAGCCTACCTATGATTCATTTTAAAGGTGTTTCCATTGGAAGGTACTCCCCCAAGGAAGAGCCACCAGCCCCCCCCCATGCCAAAAGTGTGTGGCCCAAGTGGTCAACCCCTTTAGAGAACAATGGCCTTCTATTTATATTATTCATTATATGGATGATATCCTCCTGGCTGGAGAGAATGGAGAGGAATTACTACTTTGTTACAGCTCCCTAATCCAAGAACTAGCAAGTAAGGGACTTCAAATAGCCCCAGAAAAGATACAGCTGAAGGACCCCTATACTTATTTGGGCTTTGAACTTAGAGGTTCTCAAGTTTATACTAAAAAGGTCCAGCTAAGGACTGACCATTTAACCTCACTAAATGATTTTCAAAAGTTATTAGGTGATATAAATTGGATAAGGCCGTATTTAAAATTAACTACTGGGGAACTTAAGCCCTTGTTTGACATTCTTAAAGGAGACTCCAATCCCAGTTCAGCCAGGTCCTTGACCCCAGAAGCAAAGGTTGCCTTAACCAAAGTGGAAGCATCTATAAATCAACAATCTGTAACCTTTATGGACTATTCCAAACCTCTTCTTTTTGTCATTTGTGCCACGCCCCATACACCTACAGGAGTACTCTGGCAGTTTGGACCCTTAATATGAATCCACCTGCCCTCTTCTCCTAAAAAGGTAATCACACCTTATTATACTGCAGTAGCAGAGTTAATTATCCAAGGTAGGGAACAAGGAAGGTGTTACTTTGGTAAAGAGCCAGATATTACTATCCAATAAAGCTGGAGGAGGAAGGGGAGTTTGACTAAAAAAAAAAAAGCCAGATATTATACAGCCATACTCCCAAACTCAAAGCAATTGGCTTTTCCAAACAGAGAACTGGCCTGTTCTCGTTCATTGGACAACTTAACAATCATTACCCTGCTGACAGACTACTTCAGTTTGTTAAGTCCCACCCTTTTGTTTTTCCAAAGAACACTTCCCCTCAACCTATCTCAGGAGCCCTAACAGTTTTCACAGATGGTTCTTCCACTGGAAGGGCTGCTTTTACAGCTCAAATCCAAACCACTGTTATATCTACTGCCTATACTTCAGCTCAACTTGTAGAATTGTATGCTGTTGTCACTGTTTTTAAAATTTTTTCTAATAGACCTTTTAATTTGCATACAGATAGTGCTTGTATTGTTCACTCTGTTCCCCTTCTAGAGACTGTAGCCTTTATTAAACCATCTACTGAAGCAGTTACGCTTTTCCTCCAAATTAGATAGCTATTAGATCTAGGTCTCATCCCTTCTTTATAGGTCATCTTCGGGCTCATACTGGCCTTCCAGGACCTCTCTCAGAGGGAAATGCCATGACAGGCCTAGCCACCCACACAGTCTGCCCAGTCATTACCTCTGTCATACAAGAGGCTCAACATGCCTACTCCTTACATCATTTAAATGCTCATACTCTTAGACTTTTGTTTAAAATAACTAGAGAGCAGGCTAGGCAAATAGTTAAACAATGTCCATCTTGCATAACTTTTCTCCCCACCCCGCATTTGATGGTAAACCGCAGAGGTCTCATCCCAAATGACATCTGGCAAATGGACGTTACACATATTCAAGACTTTGGTAACCTTAAATATCTACATGTCTCTGTTGATACGTTTAGTGGATTTATCTATGGCACTCTCCAGTCAGGAGAAGCTAGCAAACATGTCATCACACATACTCTTGCCTGCCTGTCAGTTTTAGGAAAACCTAAAATTATTAAAACTAATAACGGACCTGGCTATATTGGAAAAAATTTTCAAATATTCTGCTCTCAATTTCAAATCAAACACATTACAGGTATCCCATACAACCCACAGGGCCAAGGAATTGTTGAAAGAGCCCATCAAACACTTAAACACATGTTTGAGAAATTTAAAAAGGGGGAGATATACTCTGTTAAGGGCTCCCCAAGAAACATTCTTGCCCATTCTTTGTTTATTTTAAACTTTTTTAATTTGGATGCTAGTGGAAAGACAGCGGTGGATCGCTTTTGGCACCCTGCTACAAAGGACAATTATGCTATTGTCTTATGGAAGGATCAACTGACCACTCAATGGTCTGGTTCTGACCCAGTACTCATATGGGGCCAAGGGTCTGTATGTATATTTGATACTAAGGCAGGATCTGCAAGATAGATACCAGAGAGAATTGTAAAACAGGTTGACTCTAATGTTATATCCAGGGAAAATATAGAACCTGAGAAGCCTCTCTGTGATTCTTTTACAGAAAAGAAAAATGAGGATATGCCTAAAAGCAATCGTGGCCTTGCTGACCCTGCTGACCGATCTCAAACGACTGGAGACTGCTATCTCTCACCTTGAAAAATCCTTCGCCTTGCTCACCGAGGTGGTCCTTTAGAATCGCAGACATCTGGACCTGCTCCTCCTCCATCAAGGAGGCCTTTGTGCAGCATTGAGGGAAGGGTGTTGTTTTTATATGAACCACTCTGGTATTGTCAAAGATTCCATGGCAAAGGTCCGGGAAGGCTTGGAATATAGAAAAAGGCAAAGGGAACACGACCAACAATGGTTTCAAAATTGTTTTTCCACTTC